GTTTTAAATATCTTGAAAATCTGGGGTGTTACAGTTGGTATCAGAGCCTAAGTTTGACCCTAGGATAAGACTCTTAAGACCGGACTTTAGGACAATAGACTCGAACTCTAAGTATTTAGGAACATAGGATTCAGGAATCTTAGGACACGCGGTGAGATTGTGAAACCTACACATAACCTCCCTTACCTGGAGAAAACTTTCCCCCGTTATCACAAAGAAAGACACCAAGCCCCAATTTAACGTTCTTATAAACATTGACCCAGGAAGACGACAACATGTCACCCAACAGAAGACAATCAAGGACTCTAGAACCCGCCGCGCACGAACCCCTAACCCAAACACTACAACAACTAACACAAGTCACCCAAGCACTAAAGCGACGTGGCTCTCTGCAACGACAGGCCCCCACCACCTCCGTCGAACGCAAACACAGACTTCGCCCGACAAGTCTCTAACCATCGACCACCCACCTTCTCAGGAGAAGAGAATCCCGTAATCCTAGAGGAATGGATCCGAACCCTTGAAAAAATTCTCGGGTTAGTGGAATGCCCAGAAGAACGCCGCGTGGAGATAGCCTCGTTCTACTTCGGACACGAGGCCGATCTCTGGTGGATCCACGAGGGTCCCACTTACCAACAAGAACCGGGGTTCAACTGGGAACAACTCAAAACGCGACTACGAGAGCGATTCTATCCAACACACGTGAGAGCATCCATGTACGAAGAGTTTCTCCATCTGAAACAAGGGGCAGCTACCGTTATGGAATACCACAAACGATTCCTTGAACTAGCACGCTTCGCACCAGAACTAGTCCCCACCGAGGTAACCAAAATAGAGAGATTCGTATCGGGCCTCAACTTTGAAGCCCGAAAGGCACTAGTGGTAAGGAGACCTCGGACTCTCAACGAGGCTTACTCCAGTGCCGCTAATCTCTACCGAATCCAACTACTCCAACGCGGGGTCCAAGAGCAAATACGAAAGAGGAACCCCGGAGGAGGGGCACCACCAGTAAAGAGAGCAAGAAACGACACCAATACAAGACCGAGTAACCTGACCAACCAAAGGTCACCCCTGGGGAACAACGACGCTAGCACCAGGAGCTTTCCTTGTCCAAAATGCAACAAGAACCATAGAGGCAAAGATTGCATGGGCAATCCCTTGCGATGCTTCAACTGCGGAGAAGAAGGACACAAGGCCTTCCATTGCGCCCAACCCCAGAAACCACGCACTACCACCATGGGACAACATGGGGGCACCACTTATCAAGGAAACTACGACGCTCCTGGAAAAATATTCGTCATGAGCCGCACTCAAGCCGACCTCGGGAACGAGAACAATCTCGAGGAAGGAAACCCAACCCCAGAAGACGAGGACCACGCAGACCCCGTGGGAGAAAGCCAAGAAGACGAATTCTGTCTAGGATAAGTCAGCGATTTCTTTGTAATCACCTTCGTAGTAGAACTACTTACTTAGCTTAATTACTTGGAAATATTATAAATAAAAGATTAGTTCGAAATTCGGTTCTATTTGCGGGGGGTAGAACTAAAACTATACAAATTAGCCAAACCTCACCACTAGAAGCCAAAATAAGGAAAAAGACAAGGGCCCCATCATCAAAGAACCTAGTGTTACTAATGAGAATTGAACTCTTAACCTCCCACTTACAAGACCAAGGTCTTAACCACTAAGCTAAAGGTGTTTCTTGAAACCTCAAGGGAACACTCCCTTGTTAAAACCCCACAAATCCCTAAAACCCACAAAATCCCCAAATCAAAAACCATTCTTCTCCTTCCCTTTCTTCTTCTTCTTCCCCACTTCCTTCCCCTCCATCCCTCACGCACCTCACCATCCCCACCATAGAAACACCGGCAGCCACCCGAGGCCGCTGCCAGCCGAAAGCCGCCGCCGTCCGACCACCTTCCGCCAGCACCGCGCCGCCAACGCCCAGCCACTTCGCCCGGAGGACACCCAGCCGCCACCCAGCTACCACCCGCTGCCCCCGCTGCCCAACACCACCACGACGCCGCCCCAACACCAAAACCGCCTCACCGCCACCTCCCTCGCAAACGGAGACCACACCACCAAGGAGCTCGCCGGAAAAGCCACTGGAGAAATCTTGCCGGAAAACCTCGCCACCAAGAAAAGCTTCGCAATGCCAAAAAAGCCCCTTGGAACCCGCACACCGGAATGGAACAACGCCGATTACACCGTAATCGGAGGTAAAGCCCTTGAACCCGATCAATTTTCCCCGGAATTGGTTGACATGCTTAAACACCAAGGGCTCTTGGATACGTACCTCACCATCAAGGGGGATACGTGCCCTGAATTGGTGAAAGAATTCTATCAACACCTCGTAGCCACCAAACGGGGTGATAAGATGGAAATCACCACCAAGGTCCGCGGCAAGGAAATTATACTTTCCGAAGGCCGTTTGGCCAAACTCCTAAAATTGACCACCACGGGAGTGTCAAACTACGACCAAAAGGGGTGGATTGATACCCAAAGTACAGGGTACAAGGACTACCTCGGGTACCTCCTCGGGAAGGAGGAAGGATTCACCTCGGCCACGCGGCCAAACAGGAAGTGGCTATCGGCGGAGCAAAAGATATTGGTTATGATTGTGACCGATAGCCTCTTGCCCACCAATAACAAGAGCAAGGACGTAGGGAGCTTAGAGTGCACCTTTGCCTATCTACTGAAACATAAAATCAAGTTCAACCTGCCGGCACTCATGCTAAAACACATGGAGTTTTGCAAGACAAACAACTAGCTTAGCCTACCCTACGGGATGATCCTAAGTTGGATCATGGAGAAAAAGGGGGTGGACCTAAGCCACACCGAGGTCAAAACCGCAAATGGCATGGTCTTTAACGCCCAAAACCTACGCCGTAATGACATCTACTACACCGGGGGAGGACATTACCTCACCCTCGAAGAAATTTGCCAAAAACTCGAGGATGAGCGAAGAGAATTGGTGGACCAATTAGACATCTCCAACAAGAAGCTCAAACGGGCAATGCAAGATTGCGGTATTCTGGAGGGAAATGAGGACCAGGAGGAGGATGACGAGCCCAACCCGTCGGTGCAACCACGATCAGGAGGGAATCCAAGGGAACAAAACGAGGGCTCAATCAATGAACGCATACTCGCACAGCTCAACCGGCAAAACCAAATCATGGAGGAAGGATTCTCATCCTTGATCCGTACGACACGCGCACTAGATCAGAGGGTGGCAGCAATCGAGGCCACCTTGGGCACTCGCGGGGCATCCAGCTCAGGAGCAGGAGACCGAGGTAGACCTAAAACCCTTCTATCACAACACCACCAGAATTCCAGTCTACCCCAGCTAAGGCAAAACGTGGGGCCACATTCCTAACCGGGAGGCCAAGATGCGGGATGCCTAGGGGTGAAAGAATGGATTAATACACCGGGCTTCGGGGACGAAGCCCCTCGTAAGGGGGGGGAGAGTGTAACACCCCGTGTTACGATCCCTAAAATCAATTAAACCATTTAGCCAATTACCCAAAAGAAAGAATTAAATCACAATAATTAATTAAGGAAAGGCCCACCATAGTCCACGGGCCCTTATCCCTAAACCCAATCCTTAGTCCCAAAAGGAATAGAATTAGCAAGCCTATAATATTAGTTCCTAATTAGGACTCCTAAATATATAAATAGGGGACTTAAGAGACACCTAGAAACCCCCCACCACAATAACGCCCCACCACCCCAAAGAGCTCCAAGAATCCCCTTAGAAGAAATCAAGAAAGCAGGAAAGCTTAAAGAAAGACCCTTCATAGCCAAGGAATTAATTAAGGCTAAGAGGTAACCCATGTCTCAACAAAACCTATTTTCATAGCTATGATCCCCCCTTAGGATCCCCCATATTATTGTGTGTTAATGATTCGTTATATTGATAATTGGTGTTATGATTCCATTGATGGTCTTGATGATCTTGACAATGATGGGTTCTTGATAATTATGATGTTCTTGATGTATATGTGGCGTTCTTGATGATTACATGATATTCTTGTTAATGGAATGATATTCCTGATGTTTATGAGATATTCCTACCGAATCATGATTTGTGTTCTTGTCGATTTAAAAGCAATTAGAACCCTAGGTTGTATCGTGAAACTCGTATGGTGATATTCTTCATATATTTGGCGGGAATTCACATGATCGGGTGTTAATTGTATTAGAAAAGCATGATAGGATATGTGCCGTATGTTTCTTGATTTCGGTCCGTTAATTGTCTACGTGTTGTTGTCAATTGCGTTTGAAAGTGTCTAAGCATGGATCCGTGTTCCACGAAGGTTCCCGGGGCGTTTTGTGATGAAAAGAGTCAGTGGGGGGTAGGTGGGGGTAGGGGACCCGCCACCTACCCGCGGCCTATTTGGGCATCGCCGGCAGCGGGCGGGCAACTGCCCGCCGGGCACCCGCTGCCCGGAATAGTTGCCGCCGGCGGGTGAACCCTCACCCACCGGCTACCCGCTGGTTTACACCCTACCTCGGGATTCCAGCGTCCCCGTTTGATGTTCCCCCGACCCCCGTGGTGTCCCAACGGACTCCGTCCATCGTGCCTATGTCTAGTTTGATATTTCGGGTACCGTTCGTAGGTTGTATGAGTCTCATATATTGCATGCTAGTTGAATTGGTATCCCGTTGACCTACGTATAAGAAGTATGAACCCCTAAAGAGTATTCTTAGTTGTGGATGACCACGCATAGGTTTCGTTATACGTTTCCCCCCCCCCCCCCCCTCCCAATGTGCTAATATGGGTTGCATGTGCTTGCTACGTGTTATGTGTGCATGTCACCCCGATTTGGTTGAGATCAATCGGGCTATACGGGCAGTCGGATGGGCTGAGAACCATACCGGCTGTTAACCAGGCTGGTAAAGACCGGTCAGGTATATAAATATTATATAGGACTAAGGTCCACTATACGGGCAGTCGGATCGGCTAAGAACCATACCGGCTGTTAACCAGGCTGGTAAAGACCCGTCAGGTATACAAATATTATATACGACAAAGGTCCACTATACGGGCAGTTGAATGGGTTGAGAACCATCCCAACTGTTAACCGGGCTGGTAAAGACCGGTCAGGTATATAAATATTATATAGAACTGCGGTTCATCGGTCGGTTGCGATCGACCCCTCCGTATTGTGAGACGAGGCAGGGTGCTGCGGGGCCGTGTCAGAGCTATATGCGCTGACCCTCATGTATGGGCATGCGATTGGTCCTGTGGCACCAACAAAGTGTGCTATGTGATGAGATGAGAAGAATTGATGATATGACGGTTATGGAAACGTGACCATAGGGCTCTTACTAGTAATGCTTAATTGTGATTATTGGTTGTGCTTATCTGTAATTGTTCCCTACGTGAGAATTGTATATGCTTGACTATGACTGTTGATTGTGTGAACCCCTATTTGTCGAGTCGGTTCCCCGATTTGAAAGCTAGAGTCTCTTAGGATATATCTTCATGCTTCGAAATGACTTTTTGTATACCTATGTATATATATATATATATATATATATATATATATATATATATATATATATATATATATATATATATATATATATATATATATATGTATTGTATTTCAACGCGTTGGAGTGGGTTACCAGCATCTCTCGCTGAACAGATATATTTGGCTTTCAGGCACAATAATAAGTCACTGGAGCGCGCTAGAACTTGGAACGTAGAAGTAGATAGTTTCCCTTTCGGCCTGCGTGCCATGTTTATGCATTTACATTGTTGAGGATATTAGTTAGTTAGCCTGTGCACCTGAGTTCTCTAGCTCAGGTGTGGCATAGCACCCCGTACTCTTGTATTATGTTTTGGGATTTAATGAGATTTCACCTTTATTTTATAAGTTTTAAATATCTTGAAAATCTGGGGTGTTACACCAAGCCTATGAATTTCAAGCCTTACATATACTCTTTTTGTGCAGAAAGATATAATAGAAAAGATGGTGGAAGAGATGTTGACAGCAAGTATATTTCCCACAACACTTCCCCCTTTGCCTCCCCCGTATTGTTGGTGCCTAAGAAGGACAATACTTGGAGGTTTGGTTTAGACTATAGAGCTTTGAATGGAATAACTATCAAAAACAAGTTTCATATCCCCTTAGTTGAAGACTTATTTTCAGAACTGGCCAATGGATCTTTACCAAGTTGGATCTGAGAGCTGGGTATCATCAAGTTAAAATGAAGGAGGGGGATGAATACAAAATAGCCTTCAGAACACACTAGGGGATGTATGAGTTCAAGGTGATGCCTTTTGGGTTGACAAATGCCCCAGCTACATTCCAAGCCCTGATGAACTATGTATTCAAGCCCCTAATCAGAAAAACAATATTACTTTTCTTTGATGACATCCTGATATACAGTTCTACCTTGGAGAGCCATTGGGATCATCTAAGGGAAGTTTTAAGATTAATGAAGGGTAACTAGCTGTTTGCCAATCTTAGCAAGTGTTCTTTTGCCAAGACAAAAGTAGAGTACCTTGGGCATATTATTTCTGAGGAGGGTTTGCAAACTGATCCAGCCAAGCTGACCGTTGTGGCCTCTTTTCCTAAACTAGCCAATATTAAAGAACTAAGGGGATTCCTTGGACTTATAGGGTACTACAGAAAATTTATCAAATCCTATGGTACTATCAGCAGGCCTCTCACCAACATGTTAAAGAAAGATGCCTTCCAGTGGAGTGAGGAATCAAAATCTGCCATTGAGAAATTGAAACAGGCCTTGTGTTCAGCTTAATCCTTACACTGCCTGATTTCAGCAAAGAATTTATAGTGGAAGATTATGCTTGTTACAAGGGAATGGGGGCAGTGTTGATGCAAGAAGGTAAACCAGTGGCCTATTTCAGCAAGGGCTTTGGAAACAAGAAACTGGGGTTGTCCATATATGAGAAGAAATATTTGTCCATAATCAATGCAGTAGACAAGTAGAGGTCTTATTTGTTGGGTAGACATTTTACCGTTAGGACTAATCACCAAAGTTTTAAGTTTTTGCTAGAACAGAAGATCACAACAGCTATGTAGCAGAAGGTCCTAACCAAGCTTTTGGGGTTAAACTATACCATTCAGTACAAAAAGGGGGTGGAAAATTGTGTGGCTAATGCATTGTCTAGGAAGGGGAACTTGGATCAAGCTGAGCTACTGGTTGTTTCAACAGCCAGACCCCATTGGATAGAGGAGGTCATAGCAAGCTATGAAGGTGATGAGTTGGCCTCCAAAATCCTTACTGAGAATCTATTGCACTTGAAGAAGGGTCCCTACTGACTGTAACAGAAGGGCTGATTAAGTATAAAGGGAGGCTTTACATTGGGAACAAAGGGGATCTAAGAAGCAGGTTGTTGGACCAGATGCACAATTCCCTCATAGGAGGTCATTCTAGGCAGCAAGTAACATACCATAGGCTTAAGCAGCTTTTCTATTGGAAGGGAATGAAGAAGGAAGTAATTCATGCAGTTAAGACTTGTGATACTTGTCAGAGGTGTAAGAAGGAAAATGTAGCTTACTCTGGGCTGTTGCAACCTCTGAAAATCCCTGATCAAGCTTGGTAAAACATCTTAATGGACTTCATTGAAGGCCTACCTAGGTCCCAAGGGAAGGAGGTCATCAGGGTAGTGGTGGACAGATTCACCAAGTACAACCACTTCTTAGCTCCATCTCACCCCTACACAGCTGAAAAAGTGGTTGATTTGTTCATGGAACATATCTACAAGCTCTATGGTATCCCTCAGGACATTGTGAATGACAGGGATAAAGTCTTTGTAAGTAAATTTTGGAAATCTGTATTCAAACAGCTACAAGTGAGCTTGAATATGTCTTCTGCCTATCATCCTAGACTAATGGGAAAATAGAGAGAGTGAATAGGTGTGTGGAAACCTACGTAAGATGCATGGTCTTCCATAAACCCAAGACTTGGATCAAGTGGCTGCATTTAGTTGAGCACTGGTATAACACTAATTTTCACACCTCCTTGTAGTGCTCACCCTTCCAGGCACTTTATGGGTACTTGCCTCCTACTTTAACCTAGGGCTGCTAACGAGCCGAGACGAGCTCGAGCTTTGGGTAGCTCGAGCTCGAGCTCGATTTGTTAGAGGGGAGCTCGAGCTCGAGCTCAAGCTCGTTCGAGCTCGGAAATGGGGCTCGAGCTCGAGCTCTTCACTTTGTTGAGCAGCTCGAGCTCGGCTCGAGTTGCTCGTTTGTTCGAGCTCGAGCTCGAGCTGCTCGACTTGGACTCGAGTTCGCGAATTTGTGCTTGAATTCGAGCACAATTTGACCTATTTAATACATGCTGAATCAGAACTCAAAAAAAAAAAAAAAAAATCAAAGTCCAAAACAAAGCTCTCCACACAAGTTTACAGCTTCAAATCTAAAGTAGAAGTCTACAACAACATTACAAAATACAAATAGATTAAACAAATTCACATCAATTCAATACAAGTTAAGAACTTAACATCAACTTCACACTCGCCATGCTTTTCAATCTTCACTCTTTCCAGCAACAACGCCCTGTCAAAAAAGATTAGGAACAATCATTCTAACATAACCTGCAAATATTTAGATCTTAAACATACTAACTAAATATATAAAAGCTGGAAATGATCAATATATAGATTTTAATTTAGATGTTACTCATGAGTTGGATACTGGAAGATATAGTGTGTAACTTACTTTCATGGGTTGGATACAGGAAGATAAATTTCATGATATGATTTCTCTTTCTGAAAAAAAAAATATAAATTAACATGTAATTAAACAAATATTTTTAAAAGACAATGCATCATTTAACATAAAAGTTATAAATTAAAAATTAACTTACTTTGTTTTTGGTAACTCCGTGTATATGTCGAAGCCAATCACCCCCACAAAGTAAAGCTTGTACTGTTTCCGGCAGCAATGATGCACGATAAGAATCAATTACTCGTGTCCCCGCACTAAACGTTGCTTCTGAAGCCACCGTGCTAACAGGTATAGCTAAGATATCCGCTGCCATTCTTGACAATATTGGATAGTGCATTCTATTCATCTTCCACCAATCCAAACAAGAAAAGTCTGCAGCAATCTCACTTTTCTTAAGACGGCCTTTTTCAAGATAGTCTGCTAACTCCAATTTCTTAGGCTCTGAAGTTTCAACTTGAGCACAATAATCATCAAAATCATCCCAATCATATGTAGAACTTTGACGGCGTACTTGGCTCCCAAAAGTTGAAGAAGAACCTAAATTTTCAGAAATGTCTTTGTTCATTGCTTTAGCAACATACTCTTCATAAAGAGTATTGATGATCTCTTTCACTTTTGAAATGTTTTCCTTAGCTTCGTTATCAGAATATAGTCTAGGAAAACAAAACTCAACAGCAAGCATCTTCTTTGTTGGATCAAAAACAGCACCTATAGTCATCAACAAATTACACTCACCCCAATATTTATCAAACTTCATTTTCATTTTCCCAACCAAATCCTTAATAAAGGAATCCTCATCATTTGCACGACTATCCAAGGCTGCTTTGATTTTTTGAACTTCTTGAAGAAATAAATTTGAAGTAGGGTAGTCACAACCTGAAACAAATTTGAATTCAGATACTCACAACTTGAACAATCTAAAACAAATGCCTACTTACTATCCTTTGTTTGCATTATGTTCCTTCTTTGAGTTTAGTCCCATTGAAGAGAATAATTTGTCAAAAATGGTGAGAGATCCTCAACTTACTACTCTACTATTTTTCTTTACCATTATCAACAATCAATTTTACCTAATTAATGAATAATTGAGAGAGAAAGGAGTTAACATAAGCAAATTTCATGCAAGTAGCAGTTAAAAAAGATTAAGTAACAAAATTTACAGTTTTTTGCAAAACATAGGACCACATTGATCATTCTGTCAACTTCATATCATATTATTAGCTTGCTTCATTTTGCAAATTTCATGAATTTAATTAACATTACAAAATACAAGCAGAAGGTTAAATAGGATATTCACAAGTCACAATCTGAATACAATATGAAGAAACAAGTTAAAAGAACAAACCTGAAATAATGTGAGTAGCTGTCCAGAAAGCCTCTAAAATAGAGCAAACCTTGGTAACTTTATCCCAATCATCTTCTAACGGACAACTGTCAAAGAATGGATCACGATCATTTAACATCTTAAAGGCTTCTTTAAACTTGAGTGCACAACTTAGCATCTCAAAAGTCGAGTTCTATCTTGTTTTACAATCACGGATCAATTTTCTATCTTTCAACTGTAATTGCTGCACACAATCTGCAAACTGTATACGTCTTGCCTCCGATCGGTTCACATATTCGACACTATCTCTAACATCCCTAATGACATGTCGAATCTCTTCTAATCCATCTTGAACACACAAGTTTAAAATGTGTGCACAACATCGAACATGAAATAAACGACCTCCACATACCAAACTTCTTGATCTTTGAAGTGTATCCTTCATGTACCGAATTGCAGCATCATTACTAGTAGCATTATCAACCGTAATTGTAAAAACCTTCTTTTCAATACCCCAATCTTTCATGCACCTAAATATAGCATCACATATCTGAAGACCTCCCCTCGATGGTGGAATATTGATGAAGCTTAAAACTCTCTTATGCAATTTCCAACTAGAATAAATCCAGTGGCCAGTCACAACCATGTACTCAATCTTCTGGTTTTTTTATTTCCAACAATCCATTGTCAAACTTACTTTGCTAACGGATTCAAGATTGTACTTCAACTTTTTCTTTTCAAGCTCATAAACTTTCAAACAATCTGATTTGTTTGTGCTTCTACTAATCTTTCTCCACTCTGGCATTCCTCGTTTCATCATGATGTTAAATCCGACTTCCTCCAAAATGTTAAATGGATGTTCATGCATCATGATCCAATGAGCCGCAGACTCTCTCATTACTTCCATGTCAAACTTCCCATGATGTAATGGCGGAAGGGAAGATGAAACTCCATCACTAGGCAAAAAATTCAACTTAGTTTGTTGATCAACCACCTACAAAACCTATACAATTAGTCAATTACTATAAATTTATTTCCATCTAGCTAACATTTAAGCTAAGGAAAATTAAATAGTTACCCGTAAGTTTGCCTTTCTCTTAACACATTTCTCTTGATGCCTCTTGTAGCTAGTTGTCGTTCCAGTTTTAGTCAATGCAAAGTGATGATGACAATGATTGCACTTTACCTTCTTTATTCTATTTACATTGATCACCTTCAAAATCAACCCACACACTTGAGGTTTTTTTCCTCTTGTTTGTTTGAAAATCTTATTGTTGTTCTACATCTTCATTTTGGAGTGTATCATGATCACCTAAATCTAATTCTATTCCTTCAGTTTGTCGCACTTCATTACTTTCACCAACCATACTGCTTGAAGTAGGTAGATTTTGCGGGATGGATGTATTCTCGGTAGACTTAATGGAAAATAATAATAATAAAATCAATATGATTTTGAAGAGAAGTTCTTCATTACATTTTCGTAGTTCTGTCCAACTGTTTAGCTTTAAAATTTTTATATAGATAAAAGAGGTCCAAAAAGGCAAAAACAGTAAAAACAGTACAAATAAGCAGTAGAAATCTGAATAAGCAAAAAGGCAAAAACAGTAAAAAAAATTTATATAGATAAAATTTTTATATAGCTTCATTACATTCTAACTTCTAAGGCATACCACATTGAGGAAATAACAATAACTAACTTTAGAAATAAAATAAGCAGTAGAAATTTGAATAAGCAAAAAAAAATAAGCAGTAGAAATCTGGAGCATTTTGATTTGATGAAGGGGGTCTGGGTTTCATAATATCAAGCAATACAAAATTAAGTTACAACTAGCTTTCAAAGAAGATATAGTGTAGAATCTGAATCTGCTTGTCAGAAAACAAAATAATCCACATTGACAACAACTGATCCTCTAACAAGCAAAACCAAACATGTTTTGTAATAAAATTTGGGAAACTCTTAAAAGAATAAAAACCACTGCTAAAACTGAGGAAATGAAAATAGCAAAAAAAAATTATAGAACCATAGCAAAAAATCAGTAATTTTCTACTTTCTAAGCTAAAAATAGAAAAGAAAAATTCTAATCCCTAATTAAGAGTGTCTAAGCAGAAAGTAACAACAAAATTATAGAAACATACTAAGCTTAAAACACATAGATATCATATTTAAAAATAAAAATAAAAAATTAATTACCTTGGCAGAGTGCCGGACCGTTAGCGGCGGCGGACTGGCGCTTGGCTGCTGCGTCGCCGGCGGTGGCTGCGAGAGGGACCGGAGGCAGCGAGTCCAGAGAGGCAGCAGTGGACTTGGGTCTGGCTGCAACTTCGCCGGCGGTGGCTGCGGGAGGGAGCCGGCGAGTAGAGAAGCGAGAGAGTCTCAGATAATAGAGGGTGCCTGCGAGTAGAGGGAGTCTCAGATAGTAAATTAGGCTTTAGGGTTTGGCCATTTGAAAAGAATAAGAGTTTAAGACTTTAAGTGTATATATATATATATATATATATATATATATATATATATATATTATATATATAATATTATTTATTTAATTATGGCTCGCGAGCCAGCTCGACGAGCCGCGAGCGTATAATATATGAGCTCGAGCTCGGCTCGTTTCCCTAACGAGCCGGCTCGTGCTCGAATTGACCGGGCGCGAACCGAGCTTTGACCGAGCGGCTCGCGAGCCGCTCGGCTCATTTGCAGCCCTACTTTAACCTTTAATGTGGTCTCAGAAGGGGAGGGCAGTGATTCGTTTAAGGAAAGGGCTACAATGGTGGCTATACTCAGAGAAAATCTCCAAAAGTCCCAAGCTAGAATGAAACAGCAAGCTGATAAACATAGAAGTGAAAGAAGTTTTGAACTGGGGGATTGGGTCTAGGGGTGACCACGGTTCGGTTCGAACTACTATGCTAACCGGAACCGTCCGTACAGTTCCGGTTCCGAACCTGTACCTATAAGGTTCAGGTTCAGGTTCGAGGTGAAAAGGAACCGGAACTGTAGGTTCTGGTTCCAAACCGGAAAAAATTAAAAATTATAACTTTTTTTTAATAAATCCGGTTAGAACCGGCGGTTCCAACCGGAACCGTCGGTTCTGAATCGGAACCGGAACCGGAACCTTACTATAAGGTTTCGGTTCCGGTTTGTCCATTTGTGGAACCGAAACCGGCGATTCCGAACTGGAACCGAACCGGAACCGGAATCGCGGTCACCCCTAATTGGGTCTATCTTAAGATACGGCCTTACAAGCAAATCTCTGTGGCTATTAGATCCAATATCAAGCTCACCTCCAGGTTTTATGGCCCCTTTAAGGTCATTGGAAAGGTTGGAAAGGCAACCTATAGACTGGAACTTCCTGTAGAGACTGTTATTCACCCAGTCTTCCATGTCTCACAGTTAAAGAAAAGGATTGGTGAAGGGGTTAGTCCACAAGCTGAATTGCCTACAACTGATCCAGAGGGAATGGTTCTTACCCATCCTGTAGCAGCCTTGGGCAAGAGATTAGTCAAAAGAAACAATGTAGCTGTAGTCCACATCCTAGTCCAGCGGGCAAACTTGCCTAGTGAAGCAGCCACTTGGGAGGACTACCACCACATAACAAGTAAATTCCCTAATTTTTATAATTGGGGACAAGGATCCAGTTGATGAGAAGGCAATGTCATGATTATGGCAAATGGAATTGGAGGAGGAACAAGCTTGAAGCATGAACAATCGCATGGCATAATTTTAACAAATAACTAAGAGGCTTGGCAGTAGAAGGCATCAAAACGACAGCGTTTGACAAGTGGAAGTTACCAACAGTTGTCACTAATCCAAACGTCGTCGTTTGAAGGCAAATGGTTAGGGGCAGTTGACGAAGAGTTTCGACGATGTCGTTTCGCGTTGGAGAGCTAAGCTGTGCACCAGGAGATTCCAGAAGCTTGAGACAACATTCTCTTGCAAGAAAATAACAAACCTTGTCCTTATATACTTGTATTTTTGTCATTTTTATTATGCTCAGACTATGGAATGAATACCATTTTCTCTCTTCTGAATTTCTCTCTCATCTCTCTCTATTCTTCTCTGATTTCCTCCCTCATTTCTGCAAAACCCTAAGTGTGTGATACCATCCAATTTTAACTAAACTACAAAATTACCATCGCTACTTTCAACTTAACAGCTCTGTTTAATTTGACTGTAATAATGTGGTAAAATTAAAAAGAATGAGGATAGATTAGGAATTTAATTGGATGTTGTATAATAATTAAAAAAAAAAACACAAATTACAATATTTTATAACAGACTATTACACTAACATTTTTTTTAGTTCCCGTTAGGGGTCTAACATTATTGGCTCTTATTAAGATTGTATTGTAGATAGATTGTAGATATATAGTAGATAGTAGATAGATTACAATTAAATTATTCTCTTTTTTCCCATATTTATTTTAGTAATAGTATAATTACATAAATCATAGGGAAAATAACATTTTTCCCCCTGAATTGTTTACTTATAGCACATTTTCCCCCTGTGTTGTTTAGGTAACCACTTTATCTCCCTCAATTGTTTTTAAAGTGGCTATTCCCTCTGTGTTAAATAAGTGTTTGGGCTGTTAAAAATGAAGGTAAAAATGACATTTCACTTCTTCTTCTTCTTCTTCTTCTTCTTCTTCTTCTTCCTATTCCTACTACTACTACTACTACTACTACTACTACTAAATGAAGGTAAAAATGACTCCTTCTTCTTCTTCTTCTTCTTCTTCTTCTTCTTCTTCTTCTTCTTCTTCTTCCTACTACTACTACTAAATGAAGGTAAAAATGACTTCTTCTTCTTCTTCTTCTTCTTCTTCTTCTTCTTCTTCTTCTTCTTCTTCTTCTTCTTCTTCTTCTTCTTCTTCCTACTACTACTACTACTCTTATTAATGTTGCAGGAAGTACATGAATGACTAAGAACAGACTTAGTGTAACACCCCGTGTTACGGCCTTTAATCTCGAATTAATTATTTAATTAATTTCATTAATAATAATTAAAAAGGATTTAATTTGATTAGAAATCCCTTTAATTAATTAATGTGGTCCACCACGGATCGTGGACCCTTGCCTAAACTAGAGTCATAAGAATAAAGAAAGTATACCTTTACTATTCAGATTATGGTTAGGATTCTCTTTAATTAATTAATATGATCCACCATGGACCATGGACCCTTATCCCTAAAACAAGTCCTTAGTCCTATAAGGAATAGAATTAGTAAACCCATACCATTC